CTGATGGTCCTTCTTGAGCATGTGATCAGCTGGTTTTGGTTGTCAGCAGCAAAACTGGTTGATCCACTCTGAGAAGGTGCTATTTAAGAGACTGAGCTGAATACAGCACCTCAGACCTTGTACTTAATGTTAACAATTGTGTCATTGTTTAGTTTGAGCAAATAATCGAAAAACTAAATAAGGTTTACAGCACTGAACTAGTAAAAAAGATTATAGCTTTAGGTGGTAGTCATACCATACTTTTGGGATCATTTTCAATATTCCAATTCAATTCAGTTCAATTCAGTTTATTTATATAGCTCCAAGTCATGACAAAAGTCATCTCAGGGCCCTGAACAGAAACATTAATATACATAAAAGTAAGCTATCTGAGGAGCTAGCAGACTGCTTTGAGTCTAACGTCATCACAGTCTCTCAGTATAATATAATATGATATAATATAATTATTAGAATTCCATTTTTTATTAATTAGCTTGTCTTTTGAATTAAAAGACAAATATGACTCACATCTTGTTTTTTGTTTTTTAACCAACATTTTCAACACTGTCTGTTTTTATATTTAGTTATCTGCTATTCTCTGTCTACCATTTTAACTGTTTAAACATCTGTTTCTGAGTCTTTTGTTTGGAACCATCCAGATGACCGGACTGAACATTGTTGGATTTTATACCTGGATTATTGAGCATGGACTTTGGAGTCTTTTGTTTGGGTTCTTCTATATCATTTAGTCATTTGTTATTGGCAATGCAGGGGCAAACAACATTTTGTAGCTTTGGAAATTCAAAGAAACATAGTCAGAAAACACAGCTTTGTTAGCTGAAGTCCACCCCACTCCCCACCCTCCCCACCCCACACACACACAAACACATACATTTTCCATTTCCTTGTAATAATTTCACACACCTGCAGTTTTTGCTCAGAGCTCCATTTGCATTTTAGCACATTATGCTAATCGTTGGTTACGTACTGTAACCCCAGATTCTATGAGTATAGGCTAAGCCCTTTAAGGCTGTCGCTTGTGGGTTTTATCCCATCACGCAAAGCGTCGCACTGAAAAATTTAGTGCACGCCCACCTGTCGTGTGGACCCCACCCGGTCCGTATAAATTACGTTGAGAGTGGGTAATCGGCTCCCAAATAGCTTTTTTCTTCAGCCATTTAGGAGCCAGTGAGGCCCAGAGCTTAAACGGCTACGCCTATACTCATAGAATCTGGGGTTACAGTACGTAACCAACGTTCTATTTCATATAGGCTTCGCCCTTTAAGGCTGTCGCTTGTGGGTTAAGGGCGAAGCATGCTGTAGTCTCTGCCTCACTGGGTCCATTCGAACACCGTATGAAGTGTCCGCTTGCAGTAAAAAACATTTTATCCCTCAGCCCTCCATGTGCGTAAATAAGCGTTGCATAATTACGCGCACCATGTACAGATGCGCGCTGCGTAATTTACGCATTCAGTGTACATGGGCGCCCGGAGAGAAAAGTTCTCGACGGGAAAATGGGGAGAGGCTGAAAAAACAGTGAACCGATTCAAAATAAATTAACTGATTAGTAATCAAATGAACAGATTGGTAACAGTAGTCATGAACTGATTAGTGACATTAGAACAAAAACCATCAGTCACAAACTTGTGACTGATAACAAATATGTCACACTGTAATTGCATGTAGTCAGATGTGAGTTTAAACAAAGTTCCATGAAAACAATGAGATTCATTCTTGGACTGTGAGGTCTCAGTCTCTGATAGAGGACTTTTGCAAACCGAGGTGTACCGCAAACCCACCCACACAGACCAGTATTTGCAGTTTGACTCCCATCACCCTTTGGAGCACAAGTTAGGAGTCATCAGGACTCTGTATCACAGAGCAGACAGC